GGAGCGCTTGGTGAACTGCTTGCTGCTCTACCACTGCACACTGATAGAGATGTCCTCACTAATGTAGCACGTTGTCTGAGGTAATTATTATTGTAGTCCTATCCCCTGCTATAATTCGACTCTCCGTTATCAATACAACAGATTCACATCATTCAAATCGATCAATGAGTAGTCAACCTCTTATTATTTAACGTTTAAAACTATCTTGGTCATATGTCATTCTTTCCTAATCATACCATGTTTGTTTTTAGCTCGATTAAAATAGTACGTAGTCCTTAGACTTCTGTAGTATGGGTCCAGTTAGTTAAAGCTGCTGACTAATGAAGGATCAATTTTCCAGTGTACTGTCAGCTGAGGACGCGTGCTGCGAATGGCTGTGCAGGTCGCCGTGCAGCGCTCGAGCGCTGTTACGCACATTGGCAGCGTGTGCGTCACGCGCCGCTCTAGCTGTCAGACTGACGTATACTTTAGGCAACATGGCCGCCGCGGACGAACAGGCCAGGATAAACGTAAGCCATAAACATCCGACTTGCAGATGATCCATTTGTTAAAATGAAAGCATTTCCTTGTATATTCCTATATTAGTTTTATGAATGTATTTGTATTTTTAATGATTACTTTTTTTTATTCGATCACAATAAAATAAGTATAGCAACGTAATTTGATTTAACTAAATTTTGTTTTTAATTATGTTAATTAGATTTACAATGAAGAAGGTGGCATTGACGTTATCCTGACGATATTAGAATCGTATACACATCGCAAGGATCGTGACACTAAAGATTTGGAAGAAGATACAGATCTCCATTTAGTAGGTAAGCGTTTGAAAGTTTACTTCGTCACAACCTTTGTTTGGGTAGGTATTTATTATTTGGAATGTATTATATTATAATAAACAACTATTGTTTTTGTTCTACAGGTTCAGATTTAGGTGGATCAGATGGCTCGAACGAAGATGTTCTTATTAAGGTAATAGAATATTTTAAGTAGACAAACTTAAAAAAGAATTCGTTTCCTATGTTGTTGTTGTTTTTATTATTCACTCGAAAGAGCAGGCAAAGGAACTAAGCCATACAGCCTTGTCTTTTTTATTTTGAATATAGAGAATTTTATAATGTATAGGCCGCAGCCAAGTCTTATTTTTGCATTTTGCCTCACTTGTTCATTTTCTCGTTTCCGATGGAATTGACAAGAATTAGGTTCCTAGATTCGAAATATCACAGAGTAAAAAACACATGTTTTGTCCAGACGGTACGCGTTGTTGCAAACCTCTGCCTGTCAGATCTGGCCGGCCGCGGTGTTGCCATGCATCATGCCCAACGAACTATTAGAGCTTTGCTCGCCTGTTTGGATGTAGCAGATAAAACTCCTGATAAATTGGTATGTATCAAAAACAATAAAAATTTTCTTTTTTGTCACATACAATTGTGTGTTAGAAATTAACCAGACATTTTAGACTAAAACATGTCGACAACAAATTGAATAATGTTTAAAACTCTTTGAATATAAATTGACTACCTAGATACAGTTTTTATAATACGAAGTTACTATTTAACAGTTCTTTTTCATTGCTATATAGGATAGTGAAAGTGAAGAAAACAATGAAGACAACTGGAACATGGATCGTAGAGAGGAGCTTGCCACGGCTGCACTCGCTACCCTCAACAATATCACATACTATCTAGAACCTACTGACACATTGGATCCTTTGGACGATAATGTAGAACAACTTTGCAAAGGTTTGTTGTCTCTGTTTTTCAAAGAGAATGAATGGGAAGACTATGGTTTGTGGAAGTTTTTCAAATGTGGGAACACTTAGAAAAATGAATTATGTCGAGAGATTTCTTATAAATTTTGTCTCATTGTACCTTTGTATAGTTTAAACAGCTTGAATGAAGTGTGAGGTGTTTACACTGTAGATAACTAAAGAATCTTGTCACTATGTGAACTTGTCGTCATATAGCAACCTGTCGCTGGCTACACAAAGCGGGGGATGGGTGCCAACTGTCGGCGTGCGAGGCGGTACGTGCGCTCGGCAACTTGTCACGCTCGAGTCGTGCCGCACGCTGGCTGGTGCTTGAAGGCGCGCTTGATGCACTGCCTCCATTCCAAGAACACGGTTAGTATAATAAATATCGGCTAATCAGTCGAAAATAATTATATCTCTTAGGAGATATGACTCTTTTCGAGAACATTTCAGCACTTTATAGCTTGCCTCATTTGCAAGTACGTTAGAGACTCTCTCAACAACAACAACTGAATACAGCATTAACTGTTGTACTTTGTACAGAGGACGCTAGTGTGCGATACGCAGCTGCGGGCGTTCTGGTGAACGTGTGCGGTTCTGGCGCGGAGCCCGGGGCGGCGGCGGGTGCAGCTGCAGCGGCGCTGCGTGTTGCAGCCAGTACGCGCGATGCACCCGCCGCCGCGCTGCTGGCTCGAGCGCTCTGGAACGCGCACGCGCACCGCCCCCTGCCGCCTGCGCATGCGCATCTCATCACCGCCGCACTCGCTGCGTTTATCGGCAAGTATGCGTATTCTAGTAGAATACCGTCAGTAGCATTCGTCACAGCGTTGAGGAAACTTTCGTGTATTTTGGTCACTTATTAAAATGTCTATCGTTAAGTAGCAGTATACACTCACCGTGGGTTTCTGAGTCCTAAATCTCAGTCTCTCTCATAAAAGTCATATAATAATATGTTTGTTGTTAAAGATAAAAATAGAGATAACAATATGTTTTATACAGAAATTTTGGTGTTACCCTCAATAACATACTGATAATTGATTAACCGATTACTCTGTTGAATAAAATTTAAAGAAAATTCTATCAATACAAGCAAAGAGAAAGACTTATTTTTCTTATACAAGTTCAAAATTTTATCACCTTTATCAACCGACTCCGTGGCGCAACGGTAGCGCGTCTGACTCCAGATCAGAAGGTTGCGTGTTCAAATCACGTCGGGGTCAAGAGTAAATTTTTTAATTTTCAGCTTTTTTTAGAAGACCTTTTTAAATTTTATCTTTTTAATATTTATTCATGTTAAACGTTTATTTTCAAACTAGAAATTTAATTTAAATAGAATTGGACTGACTATCGCTATTCTACGTGCATTTTTTGTTATAGCATTGATAACAGGTTTGATATCATAATTTAATATTTCATTTGAAGTCTCTTTTAGCCAAATGATAAGATTATTTTATTTTTGCACTACATTTACTGTCTTCGAGTTCGTATTTTAACAAAATATTTTGATATTCAATCTATAACCAACAAACTGACAGACAATTTTAATAGCGTAATAATTTTATTTATTTTTCGTTTCCAGACGATGACTCTGTGTTCACGGCATGCGCCGCGCCTCGCTCCGGCGACTGTGACTCTAACGATCCGGAAATCAAACATCGCGTTAGTATTATGTTACTGTCATATTGTGAATTTCGACAGTTCCTAAACTTACTAAATAACTATGAAATGCCGGAAACAGCTTGACGTATTCTTACTTGACTATTAGAAATACGTATACTGTTTTTAAAAATCGTATGGAAATGTCAATCAAATGGAAGGAAGGAGATATTTGTGTACGGTGGGCCTAAGCCTGTCACGAATACTAGACGCACAGATGTTTGGGGTAAAACTCATTGTAAAGGAGTCGATTGGATTGTTGTAGACATAAGCCGTTTTTATTCCCATACGATTGTTTCGGACTGAAGCAATTGTCGAGCGTCCAAAGTATGTCTAAATTAACCTAATTTTTATTTCAAAGGTGAAGTTCGAAATGGATAACCAACGTATGCATATTGAAGATTCCAATCAGATCGACAAAGTTATGCCGGAGGATCATCATGGTTCTGGGGACGAAGATTGGAATAGGACGGGATATTCAGGAGAGGATCTGGGTTTTGAGGAAGGGGATATAACTGGGGAAGAGGAATGTGGTTGCGAACCATGCAGACGGTTGGCTGCCTGGGATGAGTTGGTCGGTGTGGCGATACCACTATTGGAAAAGCTAAAACCACCGAGAGCGGATGCCTCCGTTGGTACTGAATGAATTTATTAAATAGTACAAATTATGTAATAATTATTATGTTATTTGTATGCTTATTTATTTATTTTTCGATTTTAAAATATCTAATTAAATTCAATATCTGAAATTTGTTTTTTTTTTTTATTGAACGGCAATAGTTTTAGTGTGGAGCCAGAATAATTACTCAGCCAACTTTACTTTCTTTTTTTTAAAATTTTACAGAATAAATATTAAAATAATTAAACCTAAAAATTATATTACATTTATGAGGCCAATTATGTTTATTTCCGTTAAGTAATTACTATTAGCAACTGGTTGTGCAAGTGTATATGACATTGAAAGTGACGCAATGTCGTAGGAAGTAATAAAAGGTGGTCTGTATAATTCTTTTCAAATATCTTGGCGGCTCGAGGTCATCGGTGCACTGCGCGGTGCCTTCCCTCGACAACACTTAAAATTGTGCGCAACGATTCGCGCGCAGTTAAGAGCCGCCAATATATTTAAAAACATTTATACAAAAGGGTTAAGGCTACCTGCAACGTTCTAAAACGATTTTACTCCTTGTTCTCATTTAACCGACACTATAACGGAATCGTACTTTAATATTACGTTTGAATTTGAATTAAAACTATGCAGACATATCTAATTTACTAACCGTAGGTTGCTGAGGCCTACATCACCGATTAAAACATTTTGTTATCTGTTTTGTTAAAGATGACAGGGATCACGATGTGTTTTATACAAAGAGTTTAGTCTTAGAAACCATAGGTTAAAAAAACAAATAGTAATCGATTATCAAACCTTTATATTAACTCAAACAAAAACATTTCATACGATTTCGAAAGGCCGTATTATTTTGCTCTTTTAAACTTGAAGTAACAACTTGCGACCTTCGTCGGATTAAGTGTTTTGTGTTCGTTTAATAAAAAAAAAATACAGTCACCAATAAACGTACTACTTGTAAACACATGACTTTAAGTTATTAAGTTACAAAAAAAAAAGTGTGTATTTAGTGAAAGTATTAAAATAATTAAGGATTTAAACTAGTGAACTTTTAGATATGTAAATATTTTATTATATCTTTTAAAGTTTATGATATTACTAAGGTAAGTTTGGTTCATTTTCCTATCTTACTTTTTTCTATATATATTAAAAAGTGAAAATTTGGATTGATGGATGTTTATTAAAGGGTATCTTAAGAATGGCTGCAGGGATCTTCCTAAAATTTGGCACTAATTAAGAACATAGCCTGGAAGAACACATAGGCTACTAATTAAGTTTTTGTCCCGCACGGGCCGATACACGGGCGACAGCTAGTTAAATACATATAAAATTAAATATTAATTTTATGTTTCTCAGAACCTCTGTCTTGTGACGTAAGGAATATTGTTGTGTTCGCCATTTTTGACCAAATTGCCTTTGTAGTTAAAATTTCATAATGTTATTCGTTAACCACAATTAACAAAAATAATTCTGCGTAAACAATTACATAATAAAGATTTAAAAAGTTGTAGAATTTTATTAATGTACTCGTTCGTCTATGGCTTATTGTAACCTAGTAGTAGAAATAAACGAATTTTAAAACAACCTGTATAAAGGGGCGTCTGATCAAGCGACAAACAAGGCAACAGATTTCTTCATTCTGACAAATGGAAATGTCGTCAGTATCTCCTTCCGTGGTGTAATAACTATTGTAAACCGTAACTTTATATTATTCTTTGGTAATCTAGGGGGCGGCAGTGCCCCCACCGTAACTTAAGTGACCTAGGAATTAAATTTTAATTAGTTTAAATGCATTTGTAAAGTAAAATCCGGATAAAAATGCAATAAAACAATAAGTGGTCAGAATCAAGTTACTTTGGATCTTACCTATAGGAACGGAACATTCTAGTATAAGTATTGTCATCCCTTTCACTCTGGTTGAAAAAACTGAGATAGCAATATATTTGTATAGTTTTGGCTTTGGAAACTCACATGTATGCCACATACATAAACCATACGTTTTAAAACACCCTGTACGCATTTCCTGGATTACAAGTTAATAAGACATTCAGTGTTGGATTTTCAATCACTCACGAAATAACCACCATAGCATCTAGTCTCAGCAAATTTTGCAATTTTTATTTAATTAGACGTATTGTGAATATAAATACTTAATAAAATGATGTACATTATATTGTAATTAAAATTGCGATCGTATCATTTGCAGGGCTTCATTAATTATATGCTTTAAATATACTATTTTTATATGTTTGTCCGTCAGTTAGATGTATTGCGTTACAGTGGCAACTATGGAAAGGAAAAATTGTTTTAGCGTGTTGCTCGCGATGTCAATTCTTGCAAACGCTTTTTGTGCACCGACACCTGCTTTTAGATTGAGAAGAGCTGAAGACGACATAGAGGATTCGGTGAGTGAAATATAAATTCTATTTTATTTTTTATTCGACTAAACAATGGTAGTTGCCAGCAATAATATTTGATGCATGAATGGACCTTGACCGGTAAAATACCACGACACAGAAGACACGCGTCAAGTGGTAGTAATTCCGTGTTTCGTCCGATGAATGTGCGTTCCTAAGACCTAATTAAAGGTAGGCAAAGCATCTGCAATTGGGGATGTTAATGGCCTCTATGATATTTTAAAAAAAGAACTTTAAAAGTCTCTTCTAACTTATAAAAATTGCTAGATTTATATTTTAAACTAAAATTTGCAATCAATCCAAATACAAATTAATTAATTTAATATTTCAGAATGATTTACAAAGTATCTCTATTAGTACATCAAGCATAACTTCGACGGAAAAAACTTTACCAACACCAGATCCTTTTGACGAGGACGACGATGATGATGATTTTGATGACCTTACACCAGCTCCGTCTACCGGCGGCAGTAGTGTGTTCAGTGTACTAAAATTAGTCACCGGTTTATTTCCAGGATCAAGTTCAGCCAATGTAAGTGTTGATATTTTAGTTATGTTTGATATTTGAGTTATTTTCACGCAATATTCTTTTAGCTTCTTACTACTTCGAATCAAGGGGTAGACAAAGTGCATTCGCTTTTAAGCGATTCCGCAGCGAACTTCAAAATTGTATGGAACTGACGCGCGACAATCACGTAATAAGTCACGTCACGTCATAGAAAGTTATTTTCAGTTCTATTTTTGAATTTCGTTATGGAATCGCTTCGTAGCGTACTTTGTCTAACCCCTTATAAGTATCACTACGCACGGGTACCTGTTATTTATTAGGGGGCAGTTTCATTAAACGCATGCGTGGTGCGAGAGATTTTTTACTCATGAATGTCATAGTATTTGCATGTGAGAACCATTTTCATGAGTCGTTAGGGCCTCTTTGCGATGGACGATAGAACTTACTTTTCCATACTGCGTATTATACGTCAACTGATTCGGACGCGATGCTTGCTTTACATCGATTGAGCATTTTCATTGGCCCTTCAACTCCAGGAACTTCACACATGCTTTATAACGGAGTTATCGCCTGATGAAGTTGCGCCTTTAAGCAGTCCTTTAGTGAAGATATCTCGTACTAAATTTGCATTAAAAGGGCAGTTATTATTACCACTTTAAGTTTGCTTTAACACTTTACGCTTTACGACTCACGTCTACATTGTGTGTAGCAAGATTATAATTTTCTTCAAGTGTTTGTTGTTGTGTTTTTGTTTCTTTAATATATGCATAATGCACAGTTTGAGTGTTGTGTGATATACACTGGACCGCACAAAAGTGTTCATGTGAGTTTACAAAGTAAGTAATATTTTAAATCTTACTAATATTATAAATGCGAATGTTTAGATGGATGGATGGATATTTGTTTGAAGATACCTCCAGAAGGACTAAACGGATCTCGATGAAATTTGGAATACATATAGAACATGATCTGGAAGAACACATAGGCTACTAATTATGTTTTGTTTAATTTCGCTTGGACGGAGTCGCGGGCGACCGCTAGTTATTATAAATATTTATCTAATAAATAATGCTATTATTGTAATTACAGATTGTTGAAAGCATGATAAATATGATTGTAAAGCAAATGATGGTCAAAGCGAATCGTCGTCAATTTGTCAAAGATAATGAAATTGAAAACGAAAAAATTACTAAATTGAAAACTCCGTTCCAAAAACAAGAGAACGAAATCACATCAGCTGAAGGTGAAGTCAAAGACTCAAAGGAAAATGTAAATGTAGAAGACAATGTACGTAATATTTCTAAAGAAAATTCAGAGACCAATTTAGATTCTGTCGAAGAAGATAATGATTCGGGATATGACTCTGATGAACCTCTAGGTGGTGGGGATGGAGGAGGAGGTGGTATTCTAGGTCTCTTAGCAGGTTTAAGTGGCGGGGTAAGTTTTCTTTTTAATAGTTAATTTTTATATTATTCCACAACTGACCAGTGTTATGATTTTAGGAAGATGGCCAGTCAGATTTAGGATCACTTTTAGCTACGGTCAGCGGAATCGTTGCGAATCTTAGTGTAAGTATAAAATATTTCTTTTCAGTATCACATATCTACTATAAAGGGTGGAAGAAAGCTGAAGAAAGTATGGATGGATTGCATGAAAGAGCTAACGGCTGATAGAAATGCATGGAATAATATTTTATGTCGACACTCCGTAGGGAAAAGATCATAGTAATAATGTTGTCTACTAAGAAAATTTACCATTTTAGGGAGACGGCATCGATTTGAATAGTCTTATAGCCTCTGGAATTGGATTATTTGCTGGACTTCTGGTACGTAATCGTAGTAACGAATACTAAGTACACTTCTCTGTGTCTCTTCTTCTTTATCTCTCTGTATTTTCGTCTGTCTTTCTTCTTATCTTACTAGGTCCCATTTGTTGACACTAGTTGCTTTATTCGTCTCTTTCTTTTCCTTTTTTCTTGATATTTTTGTCTGAGACCCATATTGTGGTTACTTTTCTTTCTTTATTTTAACATTACATCTTTCTAATATGTTCGTATTGTTGAATCAATTGTTTATATTCTTTTCCAGTCAGAAGGAGAAGAGAATCCGGGAGCTGTTATTGCTAGTTATCTTTTGACTTCATTGGATACGATAACTGGAGGAGGAGCGGTATGTTTAACACGTTCAATGCTTACTTTTATTTAAAACGCTTTGGCATAGAGTGTTTATTTATATTTAAATAAGTTATTACTTGAGATAACGAGTTTTCAACCTTTTTTCAGCAAAATAATGGCGCATTTTTCGGAAATTTTCTTTCCAAGTTAGTCAAAGGCACAAGTGCTGTAAGTCGCCTTCAATGTTTTGAAAAATTTATATGTTTTAGAGATTTTATACATTTATCATATGTATTCTTTTCTAGGCCGGAGACCCAGATTCAAGTTCTGAAGATGGAAGTAAGCCAATGGCGGATTCTGGTGGTTTTGTTGCCAGTTTTGTAATTTCTTTGTTGGGAGATATGTCTAAATCAAGTTCTGGAGGTAGCTCCCATCGCTGACAAACTAAATGACATTTGGAAGCTTTTTATTATTTGCTGATTATGTTATTATTAATTAATAAAACTGTGTATTTGTGAATACTTTATTTATTACGTTAAAAAGATGATACAATAAAATATTTATGGGAATTAACATTTGCTTTTATATTATAGGTTATATTAATTGTCACCTTTTAATATTTGTGACAGGCATTATTTGAAAGCATTATTAAATGAAGTACGTGAGTATTTATTTAATAATTAAAATGTAATATCAACTGCAGTTTTATTAAAATTCTTTACAGGATTTTAGTTTTGTTCTTTCTCATCGAGTATTGTAAAGATATCAAGTTATGTTACTATAATGTGATGAAAAAATTATTGTCACCTCTCTGGTTCATATTGTCATCCTTATCATTGTCTTTGAAACCATAGAGATAATAATATGTTTTTAATTTCGGTAGCACTAACCTAACATATAACTTTCATCTTCCAGTCTAGTGTCAACTCAACGGATGAGTCTCCGTCTCCGTTTTGGACTCTGAAGCTGGACATCATAAGAGCACTGCTGCAGTTCGGCACCAGCGTTCTCGGCATGGCTTCTTCCACATTCGTCTCGGCTTCATCCGGTTAATTACCATGAGTTTCCATTGACAAAACACTTTAATGTAATGGGAACCCACGTTTAGATTAATTTAAAATGCCATATATTTTTGTAAATAAATGTAAATTTATTAAATTTTTCTTTTTTATTTCACTTCACATGAAAAATTAGTACCATTTTCCATCATAACACCACATAATACTAGATGGGATCAGAATCGAACGTTAGTATATCTTACTGTAGAAAAATAATTGTAACTCGGCACAAAAAGTTCAATGAGCGTTTATTGTAAAAAGGAACCACAGAGTAACAGAGTACAGTGCAGAGAGTAAAGACAGACGGATATAACTTTTTGTTCATCATAGACTAATTTAAATAAGTACATTTGTTGTTTATTATTCCTACACTTTAATATTATTAATAAAAATGTTTAATTGGATTGACGGATGAATGTTTGTCTGAAGGTATCCCCAGAACGGTTGCGTGGAAAATAAATTGGGCTATTAATTTTTTTAATCTCGCGCGGATGGAGTCACGTGCGACAGTCATTACTTTGTTAGATCTTGTATAGTCTAGTCAAGGTATATATAATTTATATAATTATACTATAATTTTTTGGTCTAAATATTGTGTTAACCAAAAAATATTTACGAAGTAGTTATCATTGAAATGGCTTACTATTATTATATTATATACATTTATTTATATACATTTCTAATATAATACATTTCATAAAAAAAAATATATATATACAAAACATATTATATTAAAAAGAGTTATTATTATATTTATTATTATTATATTTATATTATATTACTATTACTTAATATTTGTAGTCACTCGACCCTCACCAAAGCAATTATTTATCATAATATTTTGTTGATCCATTATTATTATAAAACGGACGCACCATAGAACCATAAACGGTAAGTTAAAATAATAAGAATTAAATAAACACAGGTCAACATAAACATTATGATTTTGTAGATTAGAAAATATATCATTACTGTACTGATTATTTCGTATAGTAGACGTGTTCAAATGGAAAATCAAGGATATTTAGTCCGTGGACCGTTAGCTTTGGTGCTGCAAATCTCACGATTTCAAGGCGTAGCTCCATTGAGATTAGAACCAAGGAGCAATGGATATTACGCTCAAAATTCTTCTTTCATGACCCATTATAGCAGATTTCTTCTTATTATATTAAGCAAGTATACATTTAAACTAATATTATAAAAAGGAAAGGTTTGATTGTTTGTTCTGTATAGAACTAGTCTATATAAAAAGTACATAAGCTTAAAGTATCTTCAAAAACAAAAAGAAAACCAATTATATACTTTAATACAGTTCTATTATTTTTAATCAGAACTTGACGACCTTCCGGACGTCTTTAGAATATAACAGTGGTAGAGCCCGCTTTAGCATCTTTGCACGAATTGGCCCGGCTCGCCTGGTGAAATACCACGACCACACAGAAGACAGACGTGAAGAGATAGCAATTCCGCGTACAGTCTGATGAGTGTGCTTCCCAGAGGCCTAATTTTAGTCCTCTTTCCCTTCTCACCCTTTCTCTTACAGGGAAAGGATGGGAAATGGAAGTGGATTTTTCAGATGAGAGAATGCATAGGAAGGAAAAATTTTCTCTTTCTATGCATCCCCATCTCGGTCAATCAAAGGTTAGCAACGCATCTGCAATTGTCTATGGCAACAGTCGCTTCGCTATTTCAGCGATTTCAGGTTGCCTCGCGCTTGTTTGCCATCTTATGATAAAAAAAATATAATGCAAATATTGATCTTATTTCTTCCAAAGAGAACTAAAAATCTTACTAATATTATGCGAATGCAACATTACAGACATATTTACATTCATCGGTTTGGTTATGGATTTGTTTCACGTTGGTACAAAGAAAGCGATTAGGGTGACTACTCTATCGTCTCTGGTTATATGGTTGGTTGACGTTACATCAATATTGATTATCACCGGTCTCGGAGTATTCCAAGGACCGCATCGTATGACACACATTATGGAACATTTGAGAAATATTGACAAGGTACTTTAAGACATTATTAGTTAGAATAATTTAAAATGAATGACGTGCTTTCGTTACTAAGTCAAGTGTCAGAATGATTAGTGAGGGGACAATAAACGTTAATATTTTGATAAGGCTAGTGTCGGATTTTCTTCCTAACTGTAGTAAGAAAACTTATAAACAGCTCTTAACGTTTGTAATCTTACTTATATTATAAATGCGAATGTTTATATGGATGGATGTTTGTTTGAAAGTATCTAAAGAACGGCTGAATGGATCTCGATGAAATTTGGCATATATATAAAACATAGTGGAAGAACACATATATTACTAATTATGTATTTTAACACCGCGCGAACAGAGTCGCGGACGACCGCTATTGATACGAGTGAAGTTAGTTTATTCATTCAACTTTTATTTATAAAACTCTCATTGAATACTCAATTTCAGGTAAATATAAAATTGAAGAAAATCAAAGGTGTACCAGGACAGCAGAAGCTTATAGTTGCCATTATTTGTGTTATGATCGGCTTGTATTTACTTATGGGTGTGGACTTTGGTTACTATGTTATGGACTCGATGACACGTGGGAAAGGAAGTAATACATTTTAATACGTAGATATTGTCCTCCCTTAGCGTCACGTAAATGACACATTAATCGTGGATTTCTGAGACCAATATCTCCATTTAACATGTTGAGCGCCACGTCAGCCATCGGTGGCTGACACTAGACTTTCCGTTTAGGCCGCGTCAGCTATCGGTGGCTGACAATAGATTTTCTGTTTAGGATGTTTGAGGCTCAATGACATTTGAACTGTAATGAACTGATTTGTCCCAAAAGAAAAACGGCCACGAATCCATTTCGAAGAAATTTTATCTGAGCGGGCTAAGCGGTAAGAAAAACAAAACAGACTTGGCGCGTAACGTGTTGAAACAAAGCCTATAGGTAATAGGTTAAAAATGTAAACTATTTTTTACTGCAATCGGAAACACCGGTCCTTTAATACCAGTGCGTATAAGCAGCGCTCGTGGCATGAACGGGATTGTCTTAGATATACGCGTGGCGCTCAACGTGTTATAACATATTGTTATCGCTATCAAAGATAATACCAGGGATTACGATATGTTTAATACAATGATTTTAGTCTCGGAAACCGGTAACTGCCCAACTAACTTTTTCCTAATTTAATAATCACCATAGCATGTTTTTACCTTTTTAATTATTCTGTCGTTCGTTACAATTGAAATTACTTGTTCCAGTGATAGTTGTCTACGTTTACGGCAGTCAATACTTCAAGTACAGTATGGCTTTGTTTCTGCATCTGCAAATTTCACTTGTTATATTACTGGCTAAATCTGCTATGAAAACAATAAACGATCGCCTTCGAGAATTAATCCAACATCTGGATTTAAATCGTACGTATTCATTTTAATTAAAAAAATCGACTATTCAAGTATGTAATAATAACACTTCAGACTGGCAAATCTATATTAAACACCTTATTACGTTAAATCGTCTAACAACAGTGCGTTAGTTGCATGCTTAGGTTAGATTTGGCACCAAAAGATGTCCATGTCATTAGTTTTAGATTTTATTAATTAGAATCCTTTGGCGCGAATGGCGCGCTTTCGTTACCAAGTCAAGTGTCAGATTGATTAGGGAGGGGACATACACGTCGACATTTTAATAAGGCTAGTGTTGCGACGATACATCGGCAATGTGTCGGGTTTTCTTCCTAACATTAGGTAATAACACTTAAACCCATTAACAGGATCAATACATGTAATAAAAGGAATTTTAAATTCTTTTATTCGAGCACACACACGTCTCTTCCTATGTCCTCGTAGTGGAGTAGTGTTCGAACGCGCAGTAGAAAATATTTTAACCATAATTTCTATACATTTCCAGTAAAATATTCTCCAATTTTAATGAAAACATCCACGGATATCAACCAGGAGTTTTTGCTGCAACCTAGTTTACAAGTAGAACAAAAACACAGAGTCCTATTCAAAAGACGCAATTTCAATTTCGACGTTTATTTATCAGGTAAATATTTCGATCTAGTTTCAAAGACAATTTGCATCCTTTATTTAACAAAACCGGACATTTGGATAAATAATCTGATAATGATCTTCATCAATTTTTATTTTCGACCAAGGAATTGTTGGTCGTCGGGCATATTTTTGACTAATTAAAATTGTTCGCGCCTAAGATGCGGGCAACACCACTATCGATGCGAACCGACGTGCGGTGCCACGAAACGTTAAATTGAACTTCCGCTTTTGACCGCCGATGCATACGCGAAACGATTAATTTGTCTTCTTGCAACTCTGTATTCTAATTAAACCATTACACCCAAATAATTGTGTTTGGGGTAAACAAAATGATATCTTCTTAATTTCTTTTAGCCGAAAACAGCTTACGAGAGATAGCGGATTGTTACGTCACAACTTGCAATATCGTTAAAGATTTAAATGAGGAAAATGGAATATTACTTATAGCAATGTACATATCCTTTATAACTTACCTTGTCGTTTCCATTTATTATTTAATTGCGGCCGTTTGTTCACCAAGTAAGTACTTGACCAATTTAATTTAATTTCATATTCAGTAGCTCTGAGAATCGACTATCTATTTTTAATCCGGCGCGGACGAAGTCACGAACGACAGCTAGGCTTATATATAAAATTATCATCTCACAATGTTAGTTACCATACTCCTTCGGCTTGACTTTTATGAAAGTTTGCGTATATATTCAGAAGGTCTGAGAATCGGCTAATATCTATATTTCAAACCCGCGCCGACGGAGTCACAGGCGACAGTTACTAATTCATTTCTTAAATTTTAATGGCAGAATGAAAGTGGAATGACACACTACTCTTGAAAATTACCACAAATCAAGCTAAAACGATTAACTTGACCAACAAATGACGCAACGTAATTCTATTTACGATTTCTTAAATTTATGATATTCATGACGGCGGTTCTTTTTTTTATCGCAGCTGGATTTATGAGAAACTTCAATATCGTACTTCAATTTATTTGGTGCACATATCACTGCTTTAAAATATTTCTTCTAATTGAACCTTGCCATCGCACTCACCAGGAGGTAAGTGTAAACTATCAGATAAAATCCACATCAAACTTATATTATTAGTGATAATGTTTGGATAGATGTATGGATGGATGTTAGAAGGTATCTCTAGGTATAGATGTCAGAACTGCTGTATTTATCTCGCTGAACTTCGACATGAATGTAGAACATAGTTTGGAAGAACACGTAGTGTAATAATTAAGGGTTTTTTTTAATTCCGCGCGGACGAAGTCGCGGCCGATAGTTATTCGTTTAATAAATAAAATACACTGATAGTGATAATTTTACTCTATATTTTATAAAATAAATTTAACTAAAAAATCATATACATACTGTTTAAAACAGCTAAGTATTTGCCGGACTTCAGTTATAACATAAAAAGACGTAAATAAAATAAATGAGAAAAGATTGATATCCGGCATGCAAAAACTTCTAAAAACTGATTTTGATCTGATGTGATTTTTCTTTTATTATTTGATGTTTAATTTAATATAAACAGATGGAGGAGACGAGAGTACTAGCTAGCCAGTTAACGTACCGCATGACGCCACCCGGCCAGCCCCTGCCTGTGGAGCTGGAGACCTTTCACAAACAATTGATTCTCTACAACCCTTCGTTCTCCCCACTCAATATTTGCACATTAAACAGATCACAGATTGCTGGCGTAAGTAAGATAGTGTACAAGTAATCCAGATAAAAATATATTATGTTTTTAGTTCGTATACAATAATAGAAAGAATTGCAAACGTTCCGGTTTCCAATCCATAGACAAATTGCCATAGTAACTCTAGTAACACATGATGTATACTTTTTTTACAAGTTAAAGAACTTGACGATCTGGCTATACACTATTAGAGTTTTATCGTTGAATTTTGGGACACGCTGTATACATAATCAAAATACTATAATAATATAATTATTCTATATTATATCTTAAGCAGTGAATGTGTTATTTTATTTCAGATAATCGCCGGTGTTACCACTTATATGCTTATTATAGTGCAGCAGAGACTCATTGATGAGTGCACGTAATAGCTTAACTCCAAATTTCCTGTGTGCATTGGCAACGACCATGACAAAAACAAACAATTTGCTAATTTATACCACTTATTTAAATACATTCATTTTATATTTATGCTCAAACAAACACCGAGTCGAAATGAAAATCTACAAATAAAATTAAGTAAGTGATGACTCCACCCAATATCTGAAAATAAAATTTTTTTTTTTTAACTTTATCGAAAAAGTGTGCTCTAACCCGCGACTTCGTTAGCGCGGAATAAAAAAAACATAGCCCATCCAAATTCGTTTAGTCGTTGATGAATGTTTGTAAGAAGGTTTCATCAGAACAGCTTCATGGATCTTGCTGAAATTTGTGATAAATCGAGAACATAGTCTAATGCTATGCTAGAACAACGTATGCTAATAATTAAGTCCTTATTTCGGCCGGACGGTGACGCGCTTATTTAACAACAAGCTTATATTAATGACATAATTACCGTTAACAAAAAGTTATTATTCAATTTAAATAAGCCGAGTGGCGAGTAATGAACATTATTTACACGAAAACGGAAGTAGTATACGTCCAAGACTTTGTAGAGTGGGTCGTCGTCGCCAGAAATGTACTTCATAAGGCAGCTTACTAGTCTTTTGGATTCGGTCATCTGGAATCAATTTAAACTTAACCTTAATCTTCATTTTACATATCGTTATCATCATCATCAGGTCAGTATATGTCCCTACCGAGGGACTCGGAGCCTACCCTAAGTTAAGGGTGATTGGGCCATAGTCAACCACGCTGGCCTAATGCGGGTTGGTTGACTCCACACATATCTTTGAATTTTTTCTCAGATATGTGCAGATTGCATAACGATGTTTTCCTTCACCGAAAGAACGTCGACGCTCTCCGACAAAAATCTCCTTTTTATCAAAGATAATGTCATATCGTGATACCTGTCATTACCTTTAATAAAACGGAGATTTTTGTCTCAGAAGCCCACAGTTAGATAGTTTAGTTAAATACTTGTTTTAACCCTTTGACTGTCGGCGGTCGAAAGTGGAGTAACTAACAGAAAGATCAATAAATATTGCGTAAAACATACCCCTGCCGAAGTCTCTTGACACGTGTTCACCATGGTCACCATGTTAACGATGACGAAAACAATCCAAAGGACATCACTGGTGTACAAATATATCCAAAAAGAAGTAGGAATATTTTCTGTAAATATTTTTACTTATTTAACTATAATAGAAATTATATTCAACATATTACTGTGTAGTTTTTATAAAACTATTGAGCAGTGTAGTTATTTCTATATTTTATAGGCTAACCAAGAACATAAAAGACCAAGAAATAGAGCATTACTGTTGCCTGTTCTTTATTACACTTACTAATTAGAGCAAATAAATTAGTTCCATTTCCGTAATATGGCGTGGTTTTTATTTTCCTAGTCAAACTATACATAACATGTTAAATTATAATAAATATTTCTTGTCAAATAGGCTACGGCTAAGTCTATGTTTTGTATTCTAAATTCCCTTTCCAATTGTCGCCCAAAACCGGAATGCCCTTTGAATTCGTTGGATATCTATCGAACGGACTCAAAAGGAGGAGTTAGATAAAGTGCATCCGTTTCAAAGCGATTCCATAGCGAACTTTAAAATGGTATGGAACTGACGCGCGACAATCACGTATCCTATCGGGAGTAATTTTGAAATTCGTTATGGAAACGCTTCGTCTAACTCCCCTGTTCTTTGGTACAGTACGTATCTACGTAGTCACGAAAACTATTGTAAGTTAGTTTCATTTAAGTCCACCGGGTCAAGCAAATTTATCGATCTATACCCTCCTGACAGTAAAGTAACAATGATCAATGTACCTGCAGAAGAGATAGTTGCAATTGCATTGTAGCTTATCATAACGATGTACAATATGTAACTCATTATAATAAAGAGCAAGAGAAGTCCGTCTTGTTTATTGAATACACCAATCACAGCACATAGGTGGTCGTAATGACGTAACAACTGATGAAGCTTCTTTTCGTTTTCCTCTGACAGAGCTGAAGCTATAAGCATCCAAGAGAAATTGGTCAAATTAAACTCAGCTGTATTTAAATTATATTATTACTCATTGAGTTTTTAGAAGCAAAATCTCTGTATAAAACATATTGTTATCTTTGTTTTGTCAAAGATAACGAAAGGGATGACGTTTTATGCAGGGATTTTAATCTTAAAACAAAATAAATCGATCCATCTGTTTAGGAGATTAACTGGAACAAACGCGGGCAGACATATAAAAATTGTAATTAAAATTGGCTTTTCGAAAATTTGAATTCTTATATTTTACAAAGGTAATCCAATTTTATTAATTCAGGTGATAGATAGATCGAAAGATGTGGCATAAAGCCGCAAAGGTGCGCTTGAACCAAAGTGAAACTTAACTCCACCAGGATCGAAGTACGTGAAAAAAGATGAAAAACAAAACATGAGTTTACTCGTTATGAGATAATAAAACAGATAAACGGTTCACTGGAAGCAACCAAATGGCAATTTCATAACAGTCGCTTCTAGTTTGCTTTTGCTGTTGCATACAAGCTTAAGTTACAAACGAACCTGGTCTTTTCAATTCCGGTACACCGAGTTGATCAATTACTTTGTTAATTCGCTTTGATGAAAACTTTAATAACGCATTTTCCATTGGATGTACCTCTTCCTGGTTTTTGGTTGCATCTATTATATAAAAAAGGGATAAAAGACATACTTAACGACATCATCATCAACTTACTGATTTTTTACCAAAAAGATTATAACTTTTTTGCTCTTTAGGTTTATGGATAGGCGATATGATGTGATATTTTGTGCCTATTTCTTTTTCGCCATTATAGCACCGGTAATCGCGGTTGTAGCGATGAGAACTCGAACTAATAACAGGAATAGAAGAAACTGGCGCTTTTAATTCGGAACTGTACACGTGTTGCCGGTCAAAAGGTCTGACATCGACTGACGCTCCTTCTCTCCGGCATGTACATACTTATGACGTGTACGCTCGAGACAAACAACACTACGTTTATGCATACACTACAGGAACCATTAGCTAAAAAATTCTCAATCGAGCGGTTTATTTAAATTCGTGTTAAAAATTTACTTACTTTTTTTAACATCCATTAAAACATTCTCAAGTTGACAATTTATGAAGCGAAACGAGACATTAAATAACTTTATAGTAAACGTATATAAAATACCCAATAAAAACATATACATATGTTGTATGTTCTCAGCCATGTTCAAATAAAATATTATCACTGAAATGTTTAAAAGTAGGAACACACATAAATTACTGTAAACGTGTATTAGTTATTTCAATCTATCCAGATTTTTATGTTTCCATTACATTTATCTATTTATCTTTATTTCAACTTACTCTAGTTTTTGAAAATCGGCTGTTCTGTTTAAAATATAAGTTGTTTTGAATAACAGTCTGACCGTTTGTCAACTAACACCTGCACCGTCATAAGCTAATTTCTGTCCGAGATCAAAATGATGTGACGACGGTCCACGCCTTCAATTCTTTCTCGTTGACTTGACGGTGACGGCGATGGTGGACAAACGGACATATGTGTGGGTTTACTGCGTCGACATTTTTATTGACACAATAGCTGTCGCCCGCGACTCTGTCCGCGTGAATATATAAAAAAACTTAATAAGTGTAGCCAGCCCACCCATCCATCCATCCACATCACATCCATCTAAACATTCGCATTTATAATATTAGTAAGTTAAATAAAAAGTAGCTCTTCAAGGCATAAATTCTAAAAAAAAATAGTATCCTATGTCCGTCTCCTGGCTCTAAGTTACCTCCTCGCCAATTACCAGCCATATTTGTAAAGCCGTTCTTGAGTTATAAATAGTGTAACTAACACGACTTTCTTTTATATATTTGTATAGATATTGTCATCACTTACATTCTCTTTGAAATAAACAGAAACATCAAAACGAATCGATAAAACAGACTAAAAACTTACTTTCTGATTTCTTTTTCATATAATTTTCCAATGCAATGTAATATTGTAATATAATACACACAATTATCCAGATTGTTTGAACAATTATTAAAGCAACATACTTTAATTCTTTTGATTGTACTCTTTGGTTAGTTATAAGTAGATTTATCTGAAAACCAAACGTAACGTATTTAACCAACCACCAAGACAGAAAATCCGAGTGAATCTTCATCAGGACTGTAGCATTCTTTGCGTTATATTCGGCTCGTTCACGTACCGACACATGTTGCCGGTCCAAAGGTCTGACATCGACTGACGCTGCCACTCTCCGGCATGTACTTATGGCGTGTACGCTCGAGACAAACAACACTACTTTTATACATACACAAGGGCAAAATTAAAAAAGTAGACTAAGCTATGCAACCACTCTTTAGCTGCAATCCAGGGAAAGTCCTTTCAAATTTGGTCCAGCCGTTTCGAAGATTATGTGGAACAAATGCAGCCTGAGACAAAAAAACAACTTAAAACAAACCTGATTAGTTTCCTTTATATAATATGATAAGTGCTTCATTCGTTTCTCAGCACCAAAGCATCCAAAGAGGAACAATATCAAAGCGTCTGCAACGTTCATCACCCACATTGCAGCTATTGAAGGTGACCCAAAATGGAGCGTGCGAGGAGTAGCTTTTATGGTTATATCCCAAATCGTGGCAGCTAATAAAACGACACCTGCAATTTTAATATTAAAAACAAGTCAAGTTCGTCAAAGATGATCTCCCACAGATAGGAGGAACTCCAGAAAGCAGAAGACTGAATACTGGCATAGACGACTAATTAAAATATACGTGTCCTCGAAAAAATCTCTTGTCAGGGGGCGTAGCGCGAATATTCGTGAGAAAAAATTTGTGCAACGCGCTATCGGGCATAAAGTACGCAAACAAACCGCATACTTTTGACATATTTTGTGGATGACGTTACGAAAGGCTCATGTCAAATTTTCGAGCTAGGCTAAGGCTTTAGCCCTTAGTCATGCGAAAACAAATCAATCTAGTAAAGCATAACTCTCAATACTTTTTTACTTACAATTTATTATCGCTAATATATATCCCAAATAGAGATACAAACGACATAATCTGATGAAATATTTGGATCCGCATTTTCTAATATGTACTGGAGCCAATCCAACCCAACGCT